GATATACCCCTCAACTTTGTCATTTAGAGCTGATATACCCCTTGTTATGAAAGTGGCTCATATATACCCCTACTTGTAAACAAATGGCTCACATATACCCTTTTCCTCTAACGGAAATGAAAAAATAATAATTTTAATCTAAATTTTTATTTTTTTTTTTAAAAAAAATATAATCACATATGAGTAAATTTAATCCTCGTCAAACATATTTTTTTTGACTTTCTTTTTGTTTCAATGACTAATTTATAATTATTATTTTTATAATCAAATTTATTTATGTTTCACTAATATTCTTGTAAAACTTATTGTAAATGACTAAATTTTTTCTTCGAATACGAAATTAAATTACAATACACACAAAAAAAATAGTTTAATTTTTTATTCTTTAAACTAAGGAATGAAAGAAAAAAACAAAATAAGAATAAGAAATTCAAATAATTATAATAAAAGAAGTCAAAAAATAATTTATGTATGAAAAAAATTAAAATATACCTTGAACTTTGATAGAAGAATCATATATACCCCTAAATAATTTTTAAAAAAAATTAGAAGTAATAAATATAAATTTAAAACTAATTTTTTAACTTCCGTTAAACGAATGGTATATGTGAGCCATTTTGTAACGACAGGGGTATATGTGAGCCGTTTGTATAACGGTAAGAGCATATATGAGTCACCTTTATAACGAGGGATATATCAGCTCCAAATGACAAAGTTGAAGGGTATATTAGATTCTTTTCCCATAAAATAAAACAAAACGCTACCATGACTTGTTGCCTAACAGAAGCCAAGTTTGTCAAGTCTATTATTGGATGTAGGCATTCTCGATCTTATCTCCTTTCTAATAATGATAAGAAAATGTTTCTTTTAATTAAAAAAAATACAATATTTAGTAATTCTAATTATTAAGTTTTTCCATTTGAATTATCTACTAATTAAAGAATGAACTAAAAATGCAAGGCAAGTAGGGAAGGAGAAAAGCTACAAGAAGAGAAATAATAAAAGAAATAAAATAAAAGAAAGATGATCGTCCTTATGAAGAAATTACTCTTAGTTTAAATTTTCTAAACTCTTTCTTTTGTCAAATCACATTTTTATTCTTTTCCAAACTTGTAGAGCACCAAGAAAATCATCTCCTTCATAATTAAGCTACGAATATTTAAAACTCTTTTTCGTTTAATTTATTTATCTGATTTTAACTTGATATTGAGTTTGACAAAAGTAACTATCAAGATTTTAAAATGTATGATCTTAAATTAAAGTTATGAAGATTGTATCTAAAGTCTTTAATTTTATAGGATTCAATATTTATCGGGAATAACCCCCACTTTCATAAATCCTTGATTTAACCTACCACATTGATTCTTGCTTTTAAATTTTAAATATGCAACTTATAAAATTAAAATTAAAGAAATTATGAAAAAGATGGAGACAATAATAACTTGTTCTGAGAGAGCTATTCGTTATTTTGTGACAAATGTATAATTTAGAATTATAAAAGAAGAAAAAAACGCCAAACAGTTTTTGTTACATTACTTTTCATTTTTTTTATTTTATTTTGGCTCTTTTCATAGGTATCATGCGTATGAAATGAAAAAATAACGATAACAAAAAGAGCAGAAGCTCGAAAAAAGTGACAATATAAACACGTCAAAAACGTGAGATGTGATGAAAAATGTAAAAATAATGAACTTATCCATTTAAAGCCAAAAAAATAAAATAAAAAATATTGTATATGATAATATCGATATGAAAATAGTATTCAGAAAAAAGATAGCATGATGAGTCACGAAACACTACAACGTAACC